TGATCAGGAAAAATATACGAATCTTTACGGTTGGATTGTCATCGTTATAGAAAATAGATATTAGCAGAGGAAGCAAGGATTTATGAAGTAACAACGGTTAAAAATTTAATATCCACGATACACGTGTCCGTAACAAGACAAATCGAATGAACTATTAACCGATGGTTTCACGTATGTGGGGGAAGGATATTGTGTTTTCCCTCAGAGAGGAAGACATTTTCTTTTTGGCGTCCCGTTTTTCATGGTTCCCTAGATCTAACTTTCAATTCAATTGAAAACCGAGTTTTCGTCGCTTTTCCTGATTCCGCATCAGGATTTCCCCGTGTGTGCACACCGATATGAGTAGCCTGTTTGCCGATATGCAATAATTACGTTTCGCGTATTTACATACCGAGTAAGTCTTATATCGGAATTTCCAAGCACCGCGAGCGCTTTGTTCCACGTGAAATTGTATAGACCGGAAAATATTTGCTTGTCGAGTGTAATTACACCTCATATATGCTCGAGCAGTATATGTAGCATTGAGACATTAGCGGGATTGAGTATTACAAAGGGTGAGGAGGAGAACACCGTGAGGCGAAATATATTATTATGTATAGTATTTCCTATACGTGATAGCGTAATCTAAACAGTATTGCTAAATATTGTAAGAATATTATGTTTCGTATATCAATTATTCTTAAATATAGTGATAAATATTAGTTGGTGGCAATGTAATAACGAGTTTGAAACTGAGAACTGTGATTATAATTAAGAAGGATAACCAAAATAGATATCTTATGATACAAAGTATCCTAATAAAATATTCTTATATAATTTAAATTACTTCATGTGTTTATGATAATGTGTAATTAAATTGTGCAAATATCGATGCTTGAGGTTATTTTTTTGAATGTGAATAAAGAATTTTAAATCTAAATTTAAAATATTTTTCGCCTATTGAAATGTTTTCGTATCGTTTGCTTTATTTATAATTAAAGCAACGACGATATATTAAAAAGAATCACTGCTCCCATTCATTTTTATAACATACTTCCTCTGTTTACCCTTTGCATTTACGTCATTTCTGAAATTAATTATAGCTACCCCATTTTATAACTTTCATTTTTTACATGTGTTTTTATCTACAAAATAACTAAAGATTAATCATTTCATGTTATACTTATACATGAATAAAAATTAACATAATCATAGAAATATATATACTTTTAAAATCTCATTATATTTTATTTCTTTCTTCTTTTTATAGAAAATAATTATTAATATCTCTTCAAAATCGTCTTTTGTAAAATCAGATTCTTTTTTCTACATATTGTATCGACTAAAAGTTTAATATTTTCTATTTTCTTCATAGATGATTAATGCCATTTTTTGTTCATTGTATTATTGTAAAAAAATTTTTTGTTATTGTATTGTTATAAAAAAATAATAATACTCGTTCATTATTTTTACTTTTATGATCTTTTATACATTCTTATAATCTAATAAATTTTTATCGATTATGATATTATATTATGAAAAGCATATGTTTCGAAAAAGACTCAAACAATTTGTAATTAACTGACACTCAACAAACTTCTCATCTTAAATGAATTATTTTGTTTAATGCAAATATTAAAATTTATTGACTATAAAAAACTAAATATATATATTTTCCATTAAATAAAAAACTTTTAAAAACTTTGATGATAAGAAAATTTACTAGCTATTTCGAATTCCTAATAATTATTCCTTTGTTAAAGAACAAATATAAAAATGATAATGACCATAAATAATGATATAAAAGTAATAATCTTGACAATCTTTTTCGTCAATATTCTGAAATTACACGATTTTTTCTAAGCAATAGAAATAATTAAAATTTATTCAACAAACTCTTAAAAAATCTTCGAAATTATATTCAATATATAACAAAAATAAATAATAAAATATATTGTATCTAACGAACTTTCTTGTTAAAACTTCAAATACTCTATAATCCTTCCACATATCTAATACAAACAACAGAAAGTAATCGGATAAACAGTTGTTGGTCAATAAAAATACTCGAAAAGAAACGTGAACGCGCGACAATTATGTTTTTTCACAGGAGATATACTCAGTTTGTGCTAACATATCCGATTATCAACGTTCATATACTCGCAGAACGGTATTTAGCGCGACAGTGGCCGAGAGGAAGAGTGCATAAAGTAAATGACCGAGGCAGAGGTGGCCAAGATGGAGAGCATAATGCGATCTGCCTCGTTCACTGTCTCCATCCTCGTTCATTCCATCCCTCGGCCATTAACCATGGTTTCATTTAGATAAGGCCGATATTTTGACGTGCAAAAACTAAAAACCCAGCTAATCTTGGTCCTTCTTATCTTTGCAATTCACGCAAAGATTACGAAACGGCAGCTTTGTTGGGCGCATCAAGCGAAAATTGCGCCTCGTCGCCACGGGTTTTCGCAATCTTCCATTCCAAGGTAATCTCAGAAAGTATTACGCGGCCATTGACACTGAATATTTGATGAGTCGTTATTGAATCTTTTATACTCGACCCACTTTTGCTTGCCGTTCAATTACATGACGCAATGATACTGGGTTTAGTTGAAAGCAAAGTAAGAGAAGAAATAAATCTATAAATCTAAGTATACAATGATTTTATGGTAAAAAATAAAGAAATTGGAAGAATGCTTGTAATTGTTATAAATAATTACACGAAGAAATATGAAATTTTTTTTAAAATAATTCAAACTAACGATAGTTTGATACTAGCAATAGAAGAAAAATTAGAATGTAAATTGTTAAATTCTATTAACTATATTATACTAATATGAATTAAAAATTGAAAAATATTAATATCTTTTATTATTCCTGACTTAATTAGTTTATTTTCAAAGTCATATATTTTTCAAAAGAAAAAAAATTAAATAATTAATTAAAATAAAGTTCTTTTGAATATAAATAATCAATAATACATTGATGTATATCTTATAAGATAATATTTTTATAAATATTTTTGTAAATTTATTTACTTTTCCAAAATATATTATAATCACGATTTATATTATCCTGTTTAATTCTATATAAAAATGAACTTGTTTTTGAATCTGAAACATGGATGGAAATATTTACGCGTATAAGGATAAAGGTCAATTATAAAAGTAAGCAACTGACGAATAAAAAACTTCCATCAATATGTCATGTTCATATATAATAACATTATAACCACTTGTTGTTAATCGAGTTATTGAAACAAAGAAACAAACAAAAATAATTAACTATAGAAGAAATTTCTCAACCCTTCATAACTATTATTGATTTTGTTACAGCACGAAAAATAAATAAAATGTCAATGTTTAATTAATTCATTAATATAAGAATATATAATTCCATAGTATAATAATTTAAAATTTATACAATTTCCCGATAAAATAATCTTTTCATCCCCACAAATTTCTGATATCTTCCGAACAATTTATTTTTTCTTTACGACTACTCGCATAAGAACGGATTCATCGTGCAAATATATCCTAACCTCATTAATCTCAACAAGAACGATATCCTTAAAATCTTTTCCACTACCGAGAATAATCTTTTATCACACTTTCGTGCCATTATTCGTTGAAATGCCGGTGTTATCTCATTGTATCCATTCCTGGCATCGCTTCAATTTACTTTGACGTTGGAATAAACGCGTGGCGGGGGATGGATGGGATAAGCGAGCAATGAATGCACGAAAAAAGAAATCCGATCGAACAGACGGTATTCATATACGATTCGGATAACTTCTCATATATGGCGAGAGAAAGGAGAGGGGTCATAATGGAAATCTTTCATTCAGGCAAGTTTCTATCGATGGAAACGCTATCTATATGTATATATATATATATATATATATATATATATATAGAGTATGCGAGCATATGCGAGTCGGTAACCATTGTGCAGTTTGCCGCCAATTCCGCCTTCCGTCGTAAATCCTCTTTAATGCGATTTTCTTAAGAAAGGAAGAAAACCTGGCGAAATGCACCCGGCTCGATAATTCCCTTAATGTAAATGCGATTACACGGGGATCAAATTAGAAGAACGCGGAATCGTTTCGGCTATGACGGATTTCAATCCGATCTGACTGTTAAAGGAAGTATTCGAATGGAAAATAATATGAACGATGGCTCGAGATATTAAAATCTAAAGATGAAACATGTACACGCTAAGGCTGTTCCAATTTATTTCCTTTTTCTTCTAGAGTTATTGGAAATTTCAATGGTATGAGTGTGTCATTAGTTTGATTTATAAATTGGAAAGCAATTTTTATTTAAAAAGATATTAATTCTGATAAGTACTAGTTCTAATTGTAAATATTATTGAAATATAGAAAATATATTTCAAGAATAAAATATATATTATCTTATACCTATATTAAAATATAAATCTTATACCTATATTAAAATATATATTATCTTACTCCTATATAATTTGATATTAATTTATCTTTCTTTCTTTTCTTTAATCTTTCCAGTAGTATAATATATTACTGACAATTCTGTTTAATTCTAATGTAAATTTTTAACTTTGTAAATATATTCATTAAATTGTAATAATTTAAATTCCTAATTTTAAATTTCTAAATTAAATAAATTTCAATTGCAAAACAGAAAATGAATATATGGAAAATTATTATCTTGAATCTTATTTATATTGGAAAGAAATAATTATCTAACTTCTAAATTAATTTCTACCGAATTCTAATTTAAATTAATTCAATACTGATAAAATCAACTTTATTCCAAAACTATCATACTCTTATCAAAATAAATCTAAAATCCTTTCCAAATCTCATATTAGAAATTAAAATCTACTTCATAATTATATAAAAGAAATTCGATTGCATTAGTTAACTTCCATATCGCGAGAATTAAAAGAAGAATTAAAAGAATTAATTTCAGTTGTTATTCTTTATAACTCGTTGACGCGTAAAGATTAACGACGATGAAAATACGAGAGAAATAACTTACCACATCTATGATCTGCTGCAGCGTGATGCCAAATTTCACTTCGAGAGGCTCGCTCTCATTGGCGACGGGCCGCTCCAGCGTGTTGTATGACGACAACAGCTCGTTCAACAAACGTTTCTCGTGACGTCCGCACAGGCTTTCTGCAACAGAAACAAGTTGTTGTTAAACCTGTGTAAAACATTCCAAAATAGCTAGTACGGGTCGGCAGTTAATTGCCATAAATATAAATTTTGTCGTGAATTATTGTAGAGAACGACTGTACTTTAGTTAGTCGATAGGGAAGGTAAAAATAATTATTTAATAAAGTATTGCGGAGAACTGACTTAAAATACGAGGAAACAAGCACTTTCCGGAACCATTGTTTTACGCATAGCATGAAGTTTGGTGATGTTTTCATGAAAAGTATACGTGTCTAACAATAAACGATAGATGTGTTTCATCCTCGTGTTGTTACACTGTCAGATATTTTTGTTATGTACATATGTACTTTTTCAAATTTTCTTTCGTTACGATATACTTCATGTCCACATAGTTCGTTATGTATATTCTTTTCTTCTTTCGCTGTTTAAAAAAATGCAAAAAGATTTTTTGTATATATTGTTTTAAAGTATATTCTACTTGTAGGGTATTTAATGATTTTACGAGAAAATAGCGTGGAAAATCTTTTTTGATATCATGTGAACTTTGAAAAGATGAATATTTTTAGATTCTAATGATTTAACAGAAAATGATAAAGTTTTAAATATTATGTTAATATCTAGATAAATTGCTTTATTAATCGATGCATATAAAGTTTCCTCAAATTTTAAGCATATGTAATTAAAAAATATTATTATATATATTTAACTGTAATTAAAAAAAATGTACATCCTCTTTTTTCAATTAATTAGAATCTCTTATAAGTGCAAATCTAATATTTTTTATAATAAATCTCTATATTGACTATCTGCATATCAAACAAAAATTATTAAATATAATATAATTATTATATTTTAATTTAATGAATTATAATAGTTGGAATTTTATTCTTAATAACATTTATCTAAAAAATTATAATTATGTTAATTATCAAAATTTAAAATAGCAACGTTTTATAGATTAAATTAATGAATCAATGCATTTTATAATTTTAAATTATGAGGATTTGTACACAAGGATAATATGAAACATAATTTTAATATATTGTAAAATATCCTAGATACCTAATATTCTAAATTATGTACATATATTATATCATCAATCATTGTTCAATCCATTAAAATCCTAAACGCGAGAAAGTATACTTGATGAAAGCATTTTTCAGTTTTCAGTGACAGTTGCAATATTAATCGCATGCAAGTTAGATATTAACTTCCATTGTTGCGTAAAATTCCACTTTCAGCAAAAGTTTGTTCGAAAATTCTTTTCAAGTGAACATTATAGATCGTGTTGCGAGTACGAGGATTCGATATATTACAGAGCAACGATTGCAAATAAGCCATTGTAATCCCTTGGCAGACCTACTAAGCTTTGTACACATTTGACCTCGAATTGAAACTATGCGAATTTTTAATCACTCGAATCTACGCTAGAAATTCATATTTATAATTACAATCCTTGTTCTTTTTCCTTTTATTATTTATTATATATTTATTATTTATTATTTAAGAAAAATTTATGTAATGATAGAATTCTCTATTTTCCATAAAATAATAAAATAATAATTGCATCATAGATTGCATAAAAGAAAAATGAATTATTATTTTAATTATTAACAATTAAAAATGTTTAAAATATTTTATAAATATCTGAGTTAAATATAAAACTGTTTTAATCTTTATCTAACATGAATACCTATATTTTATTTAATAATAAGAAAAAATATATAATTAACACATTTCAAGTTGTATTATTAAAAATCAAAAGAAATTTCTGCTGCTACATATTGAATTTAAATAAATACAAAGAATAATATTTAAAACAGAGAAAAATCCAATAAAATCTAAAATAATTATATGTATATTGGTGATAACGATTATATTAAACATGCATCAGAAAAGTCGAATATATGAAAAATCTTTCTTGTACAAAAATCATGATGCAATCATATGTATTAACCGCCATAAAATAAGAAACCGCCATTACGCATGTGTCACTAGTCTAACAAATATGTGATAAAATGATTGAGATAACCAAATAAAATATTATAACAAATATCGCTTTATAACAATTATTGTTCTTAAAATAAAATATAAAATAAAACATAAAATATTGCTCAATGCTTGATTTATGATCAATTAGTTACTTTATAACTATAAAAGAGACTATTTATTTATAATTAAGACGTAGTTCGTATCGTTATGAACGACGAATGTTGAAGTAAAAAAATTACATGATTATTAAATGAAAAATAAACAAGAATTAAATAAGAAATTATAACGTACATACGATGTATGATGTGTGTATGATGAAAATAAGTAGTTTAGAACTTCGTACGTGTCCTCAGAAAGGAAAATAACACAAATAATACACCAAAAATAACGCACGATGACACATCACTCTTAGCTTGTAATACACTATTCGCGCGCATTCGCTTCTGCGCTGTTTGCTGCGCACGCTTCCGAGTCTACACGAAAGTATCCGAGTTTACACGAAAGGATCCGAAGGAATCGCTTCTATTGCCGCAATATTTGAACATAATTATATATTATAGAAATAAAAATAGTTTTTAAATAATGTCATTTATTTTAATAATAATATCATTGTTGTTTAATATTAATATATTTTTGAAAAAGGAAATAATATAAATATTATTATTTCAAATATGCATAACTTTCAATATTTTATATTAAATAATAATATATTGTATATATATTTATAAAACGAAATTTGTTAGTTATTTGTTAAAATTAAAAGAAAATAAAGAAGTGTAATTTTTTTTTATTGAATTCATAAATCCATAACTTCTTTTATATATTAAAAAGATATTTATTTTTGAATACAACAATAGATGAAAAAATAAAAATATAAAAGTATGTAAAATAATACAATTCAACAATCCTACAATATTTCTTAATATCAAATTTTATTTTAAATTAACTAATTACAATATTTCAATAATATTATGATAAAATATTTTTTTTTACTTGCAATATCTTAATATTACAATTTATATTAATTAAGTTATAAAATCAATAATTCATCATTGATGAGATTTTTTTTAATTTTTATCAAAATAGTTTATAATTAAATAATTATAAATAATTAGTTTTAACTTTAATAAAAATTTGTTATATTTATTTTTCATAATTTTATTTTGAAAATATGGAAAATATATCATAGAAATATTACGTTCTTTTTGTGTACGAAATTCTTCCTTAAATTTATTCAGAAACATATTTTATAAAACAAAACAAATCTCTGAATACCAAATATTAAGAAGATCTTCATTCTCCATTCTTCATTCTATTTTTCTATATGCGTAAATATTTATTATTCATATATTACGAAATTTGTTTCTACATAATAATTGAAAATTTAATTTATCACTAAAAAATGGAAAATGTATCTAATTTTAGAATATTTAAAAATTGTATTAACGTATCTTTATAATTAGTTTTCCAATTAATAATCTTTATTATTGAAAATAAATATAATTTTTTGAATTCTCTAAAAATTTATATAAAATATATAAAATAATTATATCTCTGAAAATTGTAAAATTAAAATTTATCTATTTAAAAAAAAAGCAAGAACAAGTTTTAATAATTTAATTTAAAAGAATAAATATTTTGTTTCTAATTTTGTATGTTATTATTCTTTAATATTTTTTTGTTTTTTTTTTCTCAGGTTCTAAGTAGCTCGTAGTGCCAGTTCATTAGCGTCGACTCTTTTCTTTTACGTTGGAGTAATTAGATTTTGTGGTAGAAGCTAGTGTGTTTTATGTATCATAATTTAAAATAGTTTTTACATGATTTTATAATGTTTTTGATACTAAACTTAAAATAGATAAAAACGATATTCTATTCTATTTTAAAATGAAAGAATTTTAATAATATTCACAATAAAATTCTATTTTTTAATAATATTTTTCGAATTTAAGCTCTTTTTACGTAAAACATAAATTTTCTTATTTATTTCTATATATATTTTTTAATATTCTATATTATTATTTAATTAATTATAATAATAAATATTAAGAGTTTTTTATATGAATCTCCAAAAAGATATCTTCTTACTATTTATATACAGTTTCCTAGAAATTCATTTCGATATCTTTGCACAATACAATCACAAATAAAATTAAATGTTTCAAATATAGTAAATTATGTAATATCAAAAAACCCTTTCAGAACATTTCGCAAATTGTTCATGCATTCAATATCCTTCGATTAAATGTATTCTCTAGATTATACATATTCAATTATGAAAACGGGCTATATCTCGCTTAAAATATAGGAAAGAAAAGAATAAAAAGCGAATAATTCTCACACAAAACGTTATGTCAATGGTTACGATCAAGCGAGCATGTCGAGACACAACAGAGGGGCTCTGAATATGCCATGGAAAACAAAAAGAAGACGTCTGATAAAGAGCAGGGAAGAGGAAATAGCGATGGAGGTGGTGAAAGAAAGGAAGATAGGAGGGATAAAAAAGAGTGAGAGGGAGTATTGAATCCTGGGTGTTGTTGGACGTAGCAAGGGGTTAGTCTATGAACAAGTGCATTTGTCGTAACCCCGCAATATTTCGGTCTGTCTTTAATGGATGCACGTGCGCCGAATTCGATTCTGGCTATAGCCATTATTCTCCCTGTAGACACAATCCTGTTGCATTTCGCATTCGGTCCTGCCATCGTGCCCGGATTTCGAACTTGGTTAAAACCTGTGTGCGAGAACTCAATGTCACTGCAATTGGGACGTACGAATGTGAATATTGCGAGTTTATAAAGAAATCAGAGATACTTTCGATCATAATGAATTCATTGATATCAAAGAGAATTTATTGATATTTTGTTTAAATTAAGGAGATTCAGAAATGTAAGATGTATATAATATTTAGATAAAATATAAAATGTGTAAGAAGATTTCTTTCTAAAAATAAAGATTTTTCAATAAAAAATATAATTAATTTTAAATATATTTTTCTCAAATATTATTTTTAA